AGGTGAGGTGAGGTGAGGTGAGGTGAGGTGAGGTGAGATGAGATGAGATGAAAATATGGGATGAGTGAAATAGTATGAAATTAGGTGGAACTAAATGAGATCCAATCTCTTTTTCACTATTTTTCAGGGTCCGAAAACTCTGTCATTGGTTAGTGAACCTTCGCCACTTTGACAACGTCATCCTGATTATCATCTTGATCAGTAGTTCTCTGTTGGCGCTCGAGGATCCTGTTGATGAGAACTCTAAACGGAATCAGGTTGGTCCAATAGACCTTTGCTGAATTCGCTTGAGTGATGCTAAAACAATGGCCGCCTTTAGGTCGAGGTTTAACTTAATGTGTTCATACATTTACTGTCCAACCTCAACTTGGAGCTATTGGTTTGGGGTCACTCAAGCTAGTATTGGGAAGCCATTGAGAGGTTCTTATTTTTTTAGTGTTCTGATTGGTCAAGTGTCTAGGTTGTTACACGCTTTTTTATTGCCTCGATCTAGTTGAAAGCCATTTACTAGTTTAACATTGTGTATCAACAAAATATTAGATATATCTTGGTAATCGCTCTGTTTTTGTCTTTTGCCTAGATTCTTACATACTTTGATTACGTATTCACTACGATATTCGCAATGGAGGTGGTTGTCAAGGTACGTCGTGTCAATGTAACTGATACAACGCACTACACTACACTACACTAATCTCTAATTTTATTGTTTAGCTAATCGATTATGGAGCTATACTTCATCCTGGTTCGTACTTCAGAGATGCATGGAACTGTATCGATGCGTTGGTTGTCTCTTGCGCTATTGCTTCTCTTGTCCTGGGGTAAGATATCATCATTTTTTATCAGCACCGTGATCATCACCATCATTATCATCACCACCACCACCATCATTATCATCATCATAATTATCATTAACTTCATCATCATCACCATCATCATCATCACCATCATCATCATCATCATCACCACCACCATCAACATCATCGCCATCATCATCATCACCATCATCGCCATCATCATCACCATCATCGCCATCATCATCGCCATCATCATCACCATCATCATCACCATCATCACCATCATCATCATGATCATCATTATCGTCATCGACACTATTATTATCGTAACTTTCTCTCTTCATATTCCACAGCAACGACAAGGAAAATTCCGACCCTCAGTCCATGAAAACCGTCAAAGTTCTCCGAGTTCTTCGTGTGCTTCGTCCTTTAAAGGCCATCAACAAAGCCAAGAAGTTAAAAGTAAGCCATTCATAAAAAAAGCTATGTAGAAATTATTATTTACACCAATGAGTACAACTCCGAAAAATCGTCCTTTGTCTTTTATAAATAACCGTAACGATTAAGGTTTTTTCTTTAAATCCTACTCGTAAATTGTGTGTTCAACAAATTGATCGTCGTTGTTGTTTACAGGCGGTGTTCCAATGTATGGTGTTCTCGTTGAGGAACGTCCTCAACATTTTAATCATTACACTTTTATTTCTGTTCATCTTCTCTGTCATTGGTGTTCAACTGTTCCAGGTAAGAACATCAATAATCGATATTAAAAGGGCGTAGCCAGGGGGGAGAGCAAGGGGGCAACCTCCCTGCGTCAAATCCTGCGTCAAATCCTGCGTCAAATCCTGCGTCAAATCCTGGCTACTCCCTTGATCAATCCCTTATCAAACCTCTTCATGCTCTCCAATATGATATCTTCGGTAACCTTTGTATTTCTTTCTTTCTTTGCGAATCCTTTTTTTTAATCGACCAATCCTTTCTCGTTGTCAATATAACATAAGTTCATGTTGAATCCAGTCGACGTAGCACGTGTTAAGCTATCGAGCGAAGCTTGAGGGAAAAACCAGGGTCAAGATACCATTGCAGTGCATCGTGCAACTGTTTTAGGGGCCATATTTTCAAGATGGCGTCTATTTAGTACCTAGAACCTTCCCGCAATGCATTGCAATGCCAACTCGACCCAGTCTTTTCCTCAACCTCGGAATGGTTAATTACTTTGTGTTTCTAAGCATTACACATTAAGAGGAATTTGTTTTCAATAACGGGCAAAAAGCGCCAATGAGTTTTGATCCCAATTTTCGTTTTGGGTTAACACTCGAAACCTTTTCATAACAGTTAGAAACTGATGTACTATGATAAACTGCTTTTTTGAAGCGGTATTAATTTCAATTGTACAAAGATGTTTAGTTGCATTTGTGTTAGAATGTAGCTTTGTCAGGCTATTTTATAGAAAATAGATGGGAAATAAGCAAATGAAGGCCTAAACCTCATTTTCGAATAAAATTTTTGCTTTGGGTTAACACTTTGATTCCACTTTCATCGTTCATCTCCACTTCCAAACAAGTTTCTGAATAACAAGATTTTAGCCTTGTACAACAGCCTTTCTTCAAGAAAATAGTTTTTGGTGCTCACTGCTTGAATACGAAAAGAATTCTCTCTTAATTCAACTCGTTTCGATTTCAGGGTAAATTTTCTGGCTGTTCTGATATATCAAAAATGGAGGAAAAGGACTGTCAGTAAGTAGGGAATTCAACCAGAAGGCAGAGAATTCTATTGATGAATGGCTGACTGATTGATTAAATGTTTTCTTTGCAGTGGACATTATTTTGAATACGAAGACTATACCGACTTGTCTAAAGTGGAAGTAAGGATTGTGTCTGTCTGTCCGTCCGTCTGTCTTTCTATCAACCCCTCTGTCTTCTCATATTAACACATGCACGTTCTTTCATACTTAACACAGGTTAAGCCAAGAGAATGGGCTAAAGAAGATTATAACTTCGATAATGTGTTCAAAGCCATGTTAGCCTTGTTTACGTCATCAACAGGCGAGGGTTGGCCAGCGTGAGTATTATTCAAACACTGAAAATGTTTTGTCTCTCAAACTAAACACGCATTAACTGTATTAACGATAACGTGCTATTGTCCCCCTTAGTCTCATGCAGAGGTCTATCGATGCCACAGGAATCGATCGCGGTACAATCGTAGACAACAAGGTCGAGATTTTTCTGTTCTACATTTTCTTTGTCATCGTCTTCACATTTTTCTTCTTGAACATCTTCGTGGCCTTGATTATTCTGACGTTCCAAGAGCAAGGAGAAAAAGAACAGGGAGACTGCGAGCTGGATAGAAATCAGGTAAAAATAACATTGTATAGTGCTCTAGCTTCTAGCCTCTGGGGTTTGATTCCCAAACAGACGGCATATGGATGACATGAGAGTAGAGTTTGTCAGGTCTCTCCTTCGATTCAAGATTTTTTCCGGTTTTTCTCCCTCCGAAAAACCCAACACAATAAATCCCAAGGGATCGAGCCCACGTCAATGCCCTTTGATGTTCCAAAAATACTGCCAAAACCTTCTCCAGAAGAGAATGCAATCCCTTTATGTTGACTGTTTTTGCAGAGAGATTGTTTACATTTTGCAATGGTGGCAAAACCAAGCGAAAGATTTATGCCTGAAGACCCTAATACCCTCCAATACAGAGTGTGGAAGATAGTTGACTCTAGACCATTCGAGTACTTCATCATGACACTGATTGCACTCAACACTCTTATCCTGATGATGAAGGTATGACCACGTTATCTGTTCACGTGTCTACGGTTTACAATATCTTATTGATTAATTCTATCTGTTTTCTTCTAGTTTGACAACGAGCCACCGATATATCGCTTCTACTTGAACTTATTCAACAGTATATTTACCTTTATGTTCACGGCAGAGGCGATCCTCAAACTAATTGCATTCAGAACGGTGAGTACTGGCTTAATCGCGTGTCAGTCACGTGAGTACGTCACGTGTTAGTTGACGTCACGTGAGCAATAGCACGGTTTTCGTATGAGTGGGAAACGATAAGGCAACGTAGCCATACCGTAACGACATACCGTAACTTTCAAATGGCACAGTTACAGCATGTCGTACCATGTCACACCATGTCGTACCGTGTACGTTGTTGGCAGGTAACGTGTGAATTTGTCACGTGATTACTATGTTAATTAAGTACACCACGAGGCAGTTTGAGTCTAAGATAACCACGTGATAAGGTCCCGTTCATGTACGAATCATAATGGTAAAAGGTTAGTATCAAGTGGCAAAAGGTTTGTTTGACAAAACTGAATTGTGATTTGATTTCAGAATTACTTCCGTGACAGTTGGAATGTGTTTGACTTCGTGGTGGTGCTGGGAAGTCTGCTCGACTTTACTTTGGACAAAGTCATGGTAAGCGTGCAAAAATACCCTATACCTGCCCTCTCCCCCCCCAAAAAAAGTACATTGAATCTATACAATGATGATTACTATGGATGATGATCGATGATGATGACTACTGATGATAATGATGATAATAACTACTGATGATGATGATGTCGATCATGATGATGACTACTGATGATGATGATGTCGATCATGATGATGACTACTGATAATGATGATATCGATCATGATGATGACTACTGATGATNATGTCGATCATGATGATGACTACTGATAATGATGATATCGATCATGATGATGACTACTGATGATGATGATGTCGATCATGATGATGACTACTGATGATGATGATGCCGATCATGATGATGACTACTGATGATGATGATGATGATAATAGTGACAGTGATGATGTTGATGATCATGATGATGACTACTGATGATGATGATGATAATAGTGACAGTGATGATGTTGATGATGATCATGATGATGACTACTGATGATGATGATGTCGATCATGATGATGACTACNTACTGATGATGATGATGTCGATCATGATGATGACTACTGATGATGTTGATGATGATCATGATGATGACTACTGATGATGATGATGATGATAATAGTGACAGTGATGATGTTGATGATGATGACTACTGAATGATGATGATGATGAATAGTGACGCTGATGATGTTGATGATGATGACTACTGATGATGATAATAGTGACAGTGATGATGTTGATGATGATGACTACTGAATGATGATGATGATGATAGTGACGGTGATGATGTTGATGATGATGACTACTGATGATGATAATAGTGACAGTGATGATGTTGATGATGATGATGACTACTGATGATAATGGTGATAATCATGATCATGTTAATAATGATGATCAATGACGATGACTATGGATGTTGATGATGACAATGATAGATGATTATGATTAAGGATAATTGATGATGACGATGATAATGATAGGTGATGATAACAATAATAGATGATTATGCGCGATACATATCATTAATGTATATAATATCGCCATTTCCTTTCCACACTTCAGAGAGACGACGAAAAGCTTCCATTCGACCCCAGTCTCTTCAGGCTTTTCCGTGCTGCTCGTTTGATCAAACTGTTACGTCAGGGGTACACTATCAGAATTCTACTTTGGACTTTCCTACAGTCTTTCAAGGTAATCCACTTGTTTCGCTTCTCGGAATCTCCTTCTCCCTCTTTTTATTTCCTCGTTATTTATCGATATGTTATTCTTGTTTCAGGCGTTGCCATATGTCGGCATGTTGATTGGGCTTCTCTTCTTCATATACGCTGTGATTGGAATGCAGGTCAGTATAAGACTAACAGGCCATACATGACATTAGTTAGGGTATGTGCATAGCAACTCTTTCGTTGGGCTTCCTTTGGCATAGACCGTGTGGGACTGTGGACAAAAAAGCCAGCTTTTCATTATTTTCTTTCCTTACACAGAAAGTTCAAAGTTAGAGAGATGCCGGCTTCTACTGTTTTTCCATTTCAGACCATGTGTCATTCCCTTGATAATAAGATTCTTTGTTTGAGTAGCACAACCGTTAAACAAAGAAATTATACTCTTGATAAAGAGCTAGTTTCTTGCTGCACAAATTTTCTCATTTTCCCCTTCAGCAGCAGATATATTTTACTTAATACGTGTGTGTGTATGAACAGGAGTGAACAAAAAAAAAAAAAAGAAAACCAGTTTCTCCAGAATAGTCCCCTTCACAGTCAGTTCACTGCGCCGTCTTGAAAGGTACCCATGCCTTTGCATCGAAGCGAGACGAACGGTGAGCTTGCAATGATAGAGACCTCTTTTTAACACATTTCACAATTATTCACATGTCTCTATCATTGCAAGCTCACCGTTCGTCTCGCTTTGATGCAAAGGCACGGCTATGTTTCAAGATGGCGCAGGGAACTGTGAAGGGGACTATTCGTCAATATTTTGTTATGTAGCATCAAAAACGTGATTTGTGAATTTGATTTAAAATGTGTTTGGATGGCCTTGTTTAATGCAGTTCCACTGTAATCGTCCACCAATGACTATCGTAAGACCTGCTACTCATTTGAGTTCTTTTGTTTAGCTGTTTGGTCAAATCGGACTCGAAGCTTCTGATGACCCTTGGGGCCAGATCAATCCAGATAATAACTTCCAGTCGTTCACTCAAGCAATTCAAGTCTTATTCAGGTTCGTTACATTATTTCATCATTACTTCGCGCGCGCGTGTTGTGTGCAGTTCTAAAGCACGGGGGGATTGACAGAACACGAGGGAAGTGTTAGGAGAAGCACGACGCGTAGCGTATAACTCCACACTGCACAGCAAGCAAGTTTCTTTCACAAAATCCAAATTACAAAAACCGTTATTTTAGATAGCAATGACGCAACTGAAAGTGCGCGCACATGCTTTGTGCTCTCATATAGTACGCGCTCCCAACCAATCAGAACGCGAGATTCATAACAGTTATTTTATAATCACTCTCAAACATTGGACCTTTTCAGTTTCCCCCATTTCAAACCATTGTCATACATTTTGTTTGCTCTTGTATATTATACATGAAACGTTCAAAAGGTTTCGAAGTTTTTCAAAATACATTTGATATATTTCAGGTCAGCCACGGGCGAGAATTGGCACGTCATTATGTTAGCATGTGCGAGTGGAGCAGAATGCGACGAGAAAGCCGGCAAACCAGAGGACGAAAAGTGTGGCACAGACGTTACCTATGTCTACTTTATTTCTTTCATCTTTTTCTGTTCTTTCTTGGTGAGTCTGTTGACTTCTGTTGATGATGATAATGACTGATTATGAATATGACAATGACTGATGATGATGATGATAATACTGAACTAATGATGATGGTGATGGTGACGATGATGAATGATGGTTTTGGTGGCGAAAATGATAACAGTGATGGTGATGGCGATGGTGATGGTAATGGTGATGATGATGACGATGGTGAAGATGATGATGATGATAATAATGACTGATGGTGATTGTGATGGTAATAGTGGTGATGATGATGGTGGTGATGATGATGGTGGTGATGATAGACGGTAGTGATGATTGAAGATGAGGATGATAAATTGACAGCAAAATTACTCATTTCGAATGCTTCTCACAGGCAACTGTATAACGCACATTGATCTAATCATGATATATTCTTGCAGCTGTTAAACTTGTTCGTAGCCGTCATCATGGACAACTTTGAATACCTTACTCGTGATGAGTCGATCCTTGGTCCACATCATCTGGACGAGTTCGTCAGGGTGTGGTCAGAATATGACCCAGGAGCCACGTAAGTCAACCATCTTGCTCTTTGAACAAATTTCTTCCACCTCCCCTCTCTAATAACGACCGGCCCCTTAACGAAAATTGTTGTCATAAGGATAACCTGAGATCGTTTTTCGATTGATGGTCTGATTTGATTGGTTGATTTTAGTGGTCGAATCAAGCACACAGAGGTTTGTCAACTACTGCGGCAGATGTCGCCTCCTGTGGGAATCGGCAAAAAATGTCCTAAGATCGTGGCTTACAAGGCAAGTATCGTGAGTGTTCTTGATTCTAAACCGGTGCAAGCACAGCTCATCACAGTGTCCTCCATTATTGATTGTCCAATTTCTGGTTGTCAGTTTGAACAGTTTTTGTCAAAGAGTAATAATAGATTGTATTTATATAGCGCTCATATACACATGCATGACCAAAGCGCTTTACAACTCACCGTGGTATACCTTTTCATAGAACACGGTTTTTGTGTATCGTATATCTCCGTCATATATCTTCATATCCGTATATCTCTTTAAACAATTTTTGTCATAGGGCACTGAGCATGGTATATCTTTTTTATAATCCACGATTTTCGTCATGTTATGATCGGTTTATAACTTCATTTGTTGTTGATCTTTTCAGCGTCTGATTAAGATGAACATGCCTTTACATGCTGATAACACAGTCAGTTTTACTGCTACTCTATTCGCACTCGTACGAACGTCACTCAAGATTATGACTGAAAAAAGTAAGTATAAAAACCGGCATAGGAATTGCCGCCATGTTGGGGGATGTTGGGTCCACCAGCTTGGAGGCGATAGAATAAAAGAATAAAAAGACATGGAGGCCATGTTGGCGCACACGACAAGAGAAGCTAACGAGAATTATTTTGCTAACGGTCCACCATCATGGCGGCGATGATGTTAAATTTACTCTTCTAAGCTAATGAGAGATTTTTTTCCCGTAGATAATTTAAGAGAGAATGACAAAGAACTTCGTGCGATGTTAAAGCGAGTTTGGCCAAAACTAACCAAGAAAACCTTAGACAAAGTTGTTCCTAAACCACCCGGTATTATTAACAATGGTAAGTAAAAACAATGTRGAAAATGATGTATTTCTGATTATCATAAAGTCACGTGACGCATTCAGACTTACATCACGTGATGCGATTCTAAAGCCAATCTGCGCGCGTTAGCTCTGTATTTGACTTTTTTGTCGTTTTCACACCAGCCAATAAGGACAACAGCCAACAACCGATGACCGTCGGTAAAATCTACTGTGCTAAACTGATTTATGAAAATTATAAATTCCTCAAGAAGAAGGGACAACCACCAGGGGTAAGTTACAGGGGGAGGTCTGGGGGAATTTTGTCGCGTTTTGCTGTCGTTTACTTTCACAGAAGGATTTTACAAAACTGTACAAGACGACGATGGATACTCTCAATTATTCCACGTTTTCTTTTTGTGTCTCTACTTTACTGACGCCGCTTTGACGCTCTTTGTGTCTGTTCGTTTCTTCGTACAATTTTCTCTAAACAGCTTTAAAATTCAAACTAAACTGCATCCATTACTAACAAACTAAACCTATAATATATCTATATTAATGATCAGTACCAATAACTCATTGTTTRTTTAAATGCATCTATCTTCGAGACGTGGGTTAAAAGATTCCAACAAAAATAAACATGTTATAAACAAGTTTAAAAGAGGGTAATTTGAAGTGGTCAAGCACAAGTAGTTAAATCAACTTTAAAACACATAAAATCTTACTACTCTGGATTCAGCATATCTTAAATATTTTGAGTTTTTGATATTTTTAAACGGGTTTTAACTTTTAAAAACCATATCATAAAACATTTTAAACTTAAATTACCAAGACAGACTCACTAAATACTATTTTGGAAATTATATATGTTTTGGTATCAAATGTGAGAAAACCACCCGTCTGACTAAATTCGAACTCCGATCCTTTGACAAGTATCATAAAAAGCCCGCGAAAATTTATTCTGAGGCACTTGAATGCGAGGCTTTAGAGAAAATCTATTGTTCAGATGAACGAAAAGCATTTTGTAATATAGGTGGTTTTTACATATTTGACAGAATTATGATATTACCGCAAAATCTACTAAACACATACTTTAGCTTAAATAGCTAAATAGCTTAATAGTCGTATTAGTATATGTAATAGGACTCCATGCTGTCCAATTAAGAAATAATTGGACGAGGAAAATTCCGAGGACTGACAAAATTGGATGAGACCGTAGGCCGAGTCCAATTTGGTAGTCAGAGGAATTTTTCGAGTCTAATTATTTTTTGATTGGGGAGCATGAAATCCCGTTACCTATTAATTATATAGCTGCCTAATTAATCCCATATCAACAAGACCTGTCCAATTAAGAAAATAATTGGACAGTTACCTATATGGGATTAATGAAAAGCTGTATAATTATGATAATAATATTATTTCTCTGAATACTAACTTATGAGTAATTTTTTCCTCCATTGCTTGGCGAATTCAAGGATCTCGGACCGGTAAGAAGCTTTTAAATACTTATAAATATATTAATCATAATTAATAATGAAGTGTTCAAATGACGGGCAGGAGTTGATGACGTCATATCAGGACTTTTACCTTTCTCGAGGTTGCGCGCGCATCCAAACTCGGTCGGAATAAACTTTCTCATGATCTCCTGCCTTCCAGGGCGTTTAAAAAAATTAAGCGTTATCATTGGTCGCATTTGTCATGTGATATTTGAGCAGCCTTGTCATTCTTAATGCGCATGCTCGACAATGGCTATCAAAGAGTTCCTAGGGTTTGGACGCATGCGCAAACATGTCGTAAGGCTTAGGCTGATACGATGAAAAATCCAAACATTCTACCAAGGTATCAAAAACAAACAACGAGAATTAAGCGTTGAGTTGGTTTTGTTTTGCAGCAAGCACCTTTGTTAGGACGCGTTGTTGGAAGCCAAATGTTCCAACAAATGAGGAAGCAACAGGACGATGAAGAGGGAGAGGTAGATGACTAAAAAGTCACTTGGGTGGCTCATTAAACATTTGAATAGATACCCTACTCTTATATATATATCTATATATATTTATATATACTCAAGATTTGATTTAAAGTCAGGTTACCATATTTGAATAGCAATTTACAGCCAATATTGGCTATTAATTGTTGTCCCATTTCAGACCACATGTCATTCCCTTGAGTATTATTTCTATGTCCATCTATCTCTTAAAAAGACACGTTAATATGGATGAGACTCAATGCTATGCATTTTCAAGGGAAAGACATGTGGTCTGGAATGGTAAAACAGTAAAATCTAAAACCTTATATAAACAATATTCTAAAAGAATAGTTTTAATGTTAAGTTTAAAAAAATATTTCTAAAATATCTAAACGGATTTAAAACTTAAAGCTTTAACATAAAACCATCACACGCAATTGTATATGCTTGTATATACACTGTCATTTCATTGGCTCTCGTCGCGCATGCTCAGTATCGTCTGTCACCGTTTCTTCTCTCTCCTTGTTATTTGTCTTCTCTATTGTCGTATGTTCTCTGTTTTTCAATACTTTTTCATCGTGATTATCAACGTTAGGTTCACCGAAGTTCCACGAGCTCTACGAGGAAACGGACCATAATCTTCATGTAACTGAATACGACTTTCGTGTCACCATTTCGTGCAGTGGATCACGCAAAGATTGCAGCGCTAATCTTGAAAATTGCCAAGGTTTTTGTCATCAGCTCAAAGTTGACATGCCACAAAACGATAGCGCGATAGTGCTGCTCGGCAAGGAATCGTACCTTACAATTTGTAACGTTACTCGAACGCAACTGCGCTTTTAGTACGCCTTCAAGAAAAAAGCGGCACGCAATTTACTCGCAACACGCTTTCTCAGCCTGCCATTGGCTCTGTGCGTTATTGTTTCTGTTCGCAAAAAAAAATAAGGAAAATTGTCACGCAATGCACCTGCATCACCGTCACGCAACACAATCACCAGAGGGACCCATATTTTTTATTTTCTGATGCCCGGGATTAAAAAAAGCGCACATTCGTATTATGAAAATGACTGGCGATTCGTTTTTCCGTGGCAATAGRACAGGAGTCTCCTACCTTAAGCTAAGAGACGTACCCTCTCTTTCGAGGTCGAAACCACTCCTACCCGGAGCAAGGGAGTTCCTTTTTCCCCTTAAATCTCTCGTCATTCACTAATAAGTAGTATTTGTGTGATTATTGCAGCAAATTCACATGCAGGATATCACGGCGTCCATACCAGATGGACCCGTAATGTACCGTACACCATCAACACAGGGAGTCAACCAACAAGGAATGCCACAGGTAATTATGATTGACAACTAGATTGGACTGTTAAGTTACATATGCGCATGCGCGCGTTCTTGTGTTTGTGGGGGTTGGATCAGGGGGAGTGTGGTTTTCGATGACAACTCGCCTAGCAACTCGCAATTTCAATTCCTTATCTTGCCATTTTGTTATCTATATCTTTGTCTGTAGAATAGGTTTGAACCAGTGTAAGAGTCAACATAGCGGCGATGACGTCTTATCCTATCAAAACGACAAAAACAACGCTTCAAACGAAAAGCATGCGAATGATAACTAACTTGATGTTGTTTCATTATTTTAGGAATATATGGGTCGCCAAAGATACAACGCACAGCAAACACCACCAACTCGTCAGTCAACAACATCCCTCAACGATGGCCGGGGACCCGCTGTTACTACTGCTATCGTCTCCCGTACACCGCAGAGACGACAGTTGCCTCAACCACCAATGCAGCCGGGACCGGGACAATATCGTACAGGTTCACAACTATCTCTTACGGGAAAAGGACTAGGAATGCCGGATAACCGGGGAGATAGCGTACTGGAAAACGGTTATCAGCCGAATATGAATCAACATATAGCGATGGCGATTCGAAGTGGTCAAAGCCCTTATGCTATATACGGACTAGAAGATACGGGGGAGGATGACGATTGGTGCTAGTATAAACAATAATTGAAAATTAAAATTTTGGAGCTTTCCTCTTCTGGAAGAAAAAATCATGTTTTGTGTCTTCACACGTGGTGACTACGACCATGCATTAATCTCGCTGGTGCGTGCGAGATTCATAACAAGTGGTAAAGAAGAGAAGTTATGACTCAAAGACAACATAAACAAATATCGTTAACTTGTTACAAATTGAGAGAACAAGTAAGATAAAATTTTCTACTGGAAAACTTCCACATTGGTCGTGAAACCAATAAAATATTCAGTGATTTGGACGTTAAAAGCATATAATGTACCTTCAAGAGCTCTTCTACGTCAATCAATATATTGTAAACGTCATCATCACCATGGCAACGCTTTTGGAATGAGTTACTTTCACTGGCTTGGGACTCGATGCTCAAAAGGAGAGATCTATGGCTTGTGTGATCAAGAGTTTGCCAATGTTTTATTTTATAGTGAACAGGTAATTGAAGTGTTAACAGCGCTTATTTGGAGATGATTGATTTGATTGGTCGCTGAGAGAACCGAGAATTGATTCACATCATCAACTTATGGCGGGAAAATTGTAAGGAACTTTGGTGGCAATTCTCAAAGTATCATATTCATTGAAGGCAGCATTACGAAGAAAAATAGGATGCGACCAAAAATCATCAAATTTGACTGTTTTTTAATCAAATATTGCACAAAAGTAGATTTTTAGAATTCGCTCTCAAGAATTTTGGAGACATTTCCACAATCAACCATTGAATGAGTTTCGCATGACATTTAAATGCAAAATGAGTTACATAACAAATGTGATAAAATAATGTTGCTTTTTTTTATTATTCCATATAGCATTATTAATATTATTATTAGATTTTAATGAAACTATTAACAAAAATAATTATGAAAGCATTCAGTTCTCTGCACAAGAAACTGCATTGCAGTTTTTAAAACATTCATTGGAGTGTAGTGTGTTCGCGGTATTTGCCTGTCCACTGTACAATTAAGGCAACTCACTCCTCTCCTTAAGCAAAAGCAAAAAGGCATTGACTCACTACTATTATCGATATAAAGCACCAAACACCAGGATAGACAAGGTTAACTAACTAACTATTGAACATTATTTCCAGAATACGTGCTCTTAAAATTCTCTCTCAGTACAGTACCCAGAGTCCTTATCGTGCTTGCATTCCTCGCGTTGCATCTAGGGTAAGGCCTGGAAACTTCTTTTTGTTAATATACCATTAGATAGGATGGTGTTTTATCAAGCACAGAAARATTAATAATAATTCGAAAAATACATTTATTCGACCAATTTCGTTGTTACATAGTTTTGCAAAAATATTTATAAAATTATCATAATATAATATTTGCTTGAAAATTATCGGTAAATAGCTTTTAAACCATTTTTATTCAAGATATAACTTCTTTTGAGGCAGACCAAAGCTGCATGCCTATCCTCAACTCTAATTTATTCAAGAAAGTTGCTGGTCACACAGATATCGTTCTTGACTTTAATCGTAATTTCATTCATTTTCTTTTCTTTTCTTTAAATTTTTGCTGTTATTTCGTTTGGGTAATACCACTATTCATGATTTTCTTGAACGACTTGGCAAAACTATTTATTCGCTCTCAACATTATATTTTTATTATTGAGCTAGAGTCTGGGTTCGAATATCGACCGCAAAGCATCATGGTATTTTGTCATGAATAAGCCTTTTCATAGTTTAAGAATCGATTCCACTGCGCATGCGATTTTATCCCGAATTTCTCACCTTCTTTTGTCTAAACCTTCTTTTGTTCTTAATTAAACAAAAGAAGGTGAGAAATTCGGGATAAAATCGCATGCGCAGTGGAATCGATTCTTAAACTATGAAAAGGCTTATAAAAGAATGATCAAACAATCCAAAAAGCTTTGCGGTCGCAATTTCAAACCCTACCTAATTCTATTTATTCCCTAATGAAAATTTTGCCCAATAAGCCTCGCTTTTGTATTTCGCTAAACAGTGAACTCAAATGCAATAACAGCAATTTATTTTCCAAGATTCAAATCCTGTTATTTCCTTCGGATTCACTACTAATGCCTGATATTTTCTATAGAATTCGTATACAGTAACAATTTATTTGAAGTATTTTAGGCTAATTATGTCATTAATTCCATTCAGTACCAAGTACGTCTATTTATATCGCACAAGTAATTCAAGAATAGCGTCCGCTCGCTCGCTTGCTCGCTCTTCATCCTTCTATGTACATATGTTTCAGACTCTTTATGCCTTACAAACCGTAAGATTAATTATTATTGACCTACTCTTTGATTTTGAGTTCGTTTTCACACAAAAGAATAAAATTGCTAATTCGAAAGAAGTAAACATGTTTCCATTCATCTTTTCGGTTCAAGTTTTTGTTTGTGTTCGATGGCAGGGGCGAATCCAGGGGTGGTACAAGGGGTGACTAGTCACCCCCCCCCCCTTTGCTCAAAAAATTAATTTCTCAGTATATCGTTAGTAACAGTAACCCCCCTTTTCCTCGAACTCCTGGTAAAACCTTTGTARTAGTCAACTCCCCCCCTTCTTAAATTCCTGGATCCGCCTCTGGATGTAGTTGCCGTCGTCCTTGTTATTCTCGAGGGTGGTGATGGAGTTGGGAGGTGCAGGGATCGTGAAGAATGTTCCTGATTCAGTGAAATGGATTGGATAAGCGTGTAGGACTATGAATGTACCTGAAATGGATTGGATGGTCGGATACATATGTTATTTACCGGCCAGGAGTGCCGGATAGGGAAAAACTGTGCCCGAGGTCATACCGGACCGCGAGCGCGGGCAGATCGATACTGACAAAATAACGCCCGCTCAAACAGCCAATCAGAACGCACGATTTTTTAGGATACCGGACCGGAAAAAAATAAATGTATATATTATCCGAAATGGCGGGAAAGACAAGAAAGAAACAAAAAATATATAGATGGAAGTATGCCGGATAAGAGAACGACTTAATGTCAAAATTCCCGACATGATTCTCTGTCAAATACAGCCGTATAAATTATTTCTTTGATCGGGCACAAAAGATATTTGAATGTGACTCAGTTTGTTACGTATTATGTCGCGACTGATCTGACGGTAAAGTAGATAACAACCACATCCATACTTTCGATGAACATTCCAGTTCCCAGGGACAAACGGGTTAAAACTTTAAGAGAAAAAGTGCAACCAAAAGCAATCAAATTCCATAATTTATTCAGCGCGATAGACACTAGTAAAAGTGAAATTCAATTCAGTTTCAGAAAGGTTTTTTAGCTTCTGCCATTTGTAACTCATCATTTATCAAAGCGTAGGAAACCCAAATTTGTATTTTATTGGAAGTATAAAATTTGCTTCAAGTCCTTCAAAAATCCTGCGACGGTCCTTTCTCGGAATACACAGACTGGGCCTTCTGTGACTTGCTGTGGGATAGTTTAGGGAGAAGTTTGAATGCAGCAGTGTTCATAATCATGGGGGGTAGAAAGAGCCCTTTGTGGTCAGAGAACTGGAATTTCCTGTATCCGTGTTTAGTTCGTTGACCTTTTCCCTTTTCGGTTTCCGTCATCACACACGAGGCCGTTTAACAGTTGTTTTTAATTTTTAACTTTACAAATTTGAATTAAAATTACCTTAAAGCTACTGAAAAATTTATCTTATTTTTTAAATAATGAAAATGTTATTTTCACGCATTCCTTTGCACAAAACGAACTTCATTTTTTAAGGCTATTATAATTATTCCAGGAAAAACCTTGCAGAACTTAAAGTTAATTGAAATTTCTATTTTTTGTCTTGTTTTTGTAAGGATTGTTTGAAAAATTGCATTCAAATTAAATCTATTTATGTTTTTCACTAAAATAAATGAAATTCGTGCTTAATTTTGCAGAATTTAATATTCGGGGTTATTCGGAAGGAACTCGGAACTTTACGACTAAGTTCGGAACCATCCGAAAGGAAGCTTGTCGTGTACCATATATGGAAGTCGTCAGCGTGTATTTTTGATGCGTCAGGTTTTTGGCGCGCTGACGGCAGGCACGTGATTAAGGTAGTGACGTGTCGAGCCTCGTTGTCTGCTGGGGGTCCAAGTAAAGCTCAAAAGGGCGGCTGTTTGTTCGTTCGCTGGACGAACAAGAGCCAAGRAAATACTGTCAAAATTTATGTTGAATCTCTCGTCGTGGATGGACRCGCTAGACCATCCGACTTCGGAAAATTTCCAGAATTCCATCACACGCATTTACAAAGGGTATGGTATGCTTCTTTTTCGTCTGAAGTTACTATATCTTGGATAATTTGTGCGTGATATGTTGGAAGATGTAACCGACAAAATGGCGTTGGCTGTGTTAAAATGTCGTTGAGCAAACGCCGTCTTCTTTCTCGCAATCGCGCAGGAGATACTTGGAAATTTTTGTCACAACAGATAAATAAAGTGATTTTACGTGTTTTGGTAGTAGTTTGGTGAATTGAAATGTTGTTATAAAGTGGAAATTTATCGAAATATGTTGCATCATCGCAGGCCTGGTGAGGCAGTACAGCAGTCTGGTCTTCACAGTGAATATGGAGTCGCCGATTCAGTGAATGGAATAAGGCCCTTGTCGAGCCCCGAGGGGCACGAAAAACGACCAAGAAGACTCTCTCACAAATACGACGATTTTGAGCAGCCTACAGTGGTAAATAATATTGGTTTGGTCGATTTTAATCTGTCAGAATAGTTGAACTTCACTTCGCGTCTCTGAAGTGCTTGCACTGACGATTATTGAATTAGTAATTCGCTTCAGTTTTCAGTCTTTGCATCGAGTGCTGAATCTATTTTCGATTTTGTTTGGTTTATTTAGCGAGGTATGGCTCAACCGACCTCATCTACACCACATCAGCCAGCACTAAAGAGCCACAGAACGACAAACCAACTTCAATATTTACAGAAAACGGTTATGAAGGGAATATGGAGACATCAATACGCTTGGCCTTTCCGCGAACCTGTAGATGCTGTAAAGCTCAATTTACCGGTTAGTGCACTGAAATTTCCAGCTAGATCGTTGAATTTTTATCTTATGAAGCTTCTGTTTGTTTAGTATAGTTGTCAAGGGACTTATAGAATTGTGTTATGATGTTGAATAGGACTACTACAGCATCATAAAGAAGCCTATGGACCTTGGTACCATCAAAAAGAAGCTTGAAAATTATGATTATAATAATGGCAAGGAATGTATTGACGATTTCAATCTCATGTTTGAGAACTGCTATCGATACAACAAACCAGGAGATGTAAGTCTTATTTTTCTTGGTTCAGTAAAATATTGTGTGTTCACGTGTAGTGACTGCCTCTTCATAGCTTGACGATGACACTCGAGCTGTAGAGATTGCATTCCCTCCTTTCTCGCACGTGTACAGAAACAATTTTTACTAAGGAATCTAGATTAAATGYATTGCTTTCTGCAAACAAACTACTCAACCAGTAATAACAAGATTATGAGAGTGCTGAGGAGTATTTTCTTTTCGAAACACGAATGGGGAAGCAAATGTCGCTGAAAGAGAATTTAGAAAAATGTATTACACACTTCCGTTTTAGAATACAACAATGGCTAATAAATAAATTGTTAAGAATGTACTTTCAATAAAATCGTATTATATTATGAAAAAATCTTATTAGATTACTGTATTTTTATTGATGTGACAGACAATCTTGAAATCTATAGCATGTGTATTGTGTTGTTAGTGAATATGAATGCGTTTGCATTATTATCTATTAAATTGAATTCAAATTGTCTCCAAAGTCTTTTAAATATGTCCGAAAAATGAACATAACTTACGGCTTTATGAGTCATTTAATTTCAATTTTATATGAATAATTATTTATTATATTTACATATGTTGAAATAGTTTTGAAAAAGTTTTATATGAAATATAATTATTTATGAAGATTCATTTTGTATTGCCCTTGAATAGGGTGAAGTTAGAAAAAAACATGAAGAAGGTTTGAGTAACTGCTCATTGTTAAATTTTTTTTCATGGATAATTTTTTTTTTGAAATAAGGAAGTGATGGTTGTTACGTTATAACTTGTTTTGATATCAGCATGTCATTTTCATGTGCAGTTTGGCATTGATGAATATTATGGTATTGGCCCAAAGGAAGTGTGCAAGGATGCACACATCTTGAAAATCTTGTTTACATTGTGATCTTACAATAGATCGGGCATCTTTTTGTCATCAGTGACAACTAATCTCATATCCTCTGTTTGAAGATTGTATTATGCAATACATTGAGGCAGTTCATTATTTTCTTCTTCTTCAGGATATAACATTAATGTGTCAGACAGTGGAAAAAGTATTTAAACAAAAATTAGGGGCATTGCCTCCTGAGGTAGGTTTGCATATGTAATGTGTTCAGTTTGCTCTTCTTTTTTTGTTTTGCTAGGCTTAATTTTAACTTTGGTTTTTGAAATGAAGATAATATTCCCAAGAAATTTGAAGAAACCAATTTATAATCATTTTTAGGAAAAAGAAATTCTAATTGGACCAAAGAGAAAAGCAGATGGAATAGGAGGAACTGGAGCAAAGAAGGGCAGAAGGCCGGGGCCAAAACCTGAATTGCATGTGCCAGCGACAGGTATAGTTCATAAYAGAAATACGACTAAGAATACCTAAAATACTCTTTATCCTAAAATTTACTTATTATGTTTGCAGTTGTGCCTGACAGTACTCCAATGACGACAATTCCTCAACCAGCAACAATTACTACCCTCCCTCCGTTGGTAACAGCTACTACTGCATTACCTACTCCAGTAGAAGCAACAACCACAGCACTCCCTACACCATCTGTTACGCCAGCACCCGTAATGCCTGGACCACCACCCATCGCTACATCCAAGGTATTGAAGCATGTACATGTAAATGCTACTCAACTTTTAAAACTATTAGTCTTGTCAGATTCTTAAAGGGTTAAAGTATGAGATATTTCTGGCTCAAAAATTATCGAATGATTATCTGTAAAATGTTTAACTTTTGAAAATGATGTTTTTTGAAAAGAAAACAATAATTTTTGAAATTCATAAAGCAATAGACCTATCCCAAATTCGCTTGACTGGTCACGAAACAATGGTCTCAAGTCGAGGTTGAACTTGATGAATAAAAGAATCAAGTTCAATCTCAACTTCAAACCATTGTTTCATGGTCAGTAAAATGAATTTGGGAAAGGTCTATTTTACCACTTATACTTGAATAGCATTTAATTATTATTAATAATTCCAATTTCATATTGATATTCTTCATACATTTCCAGATCAAGAAAGGAGTGAAACGCAAAGCAGATACTACAACGCCAACCACACCAATAGGAGACATTGACTCTGGATTATCAGCCCCTAAAGCAGCTAGAGTGCCAGCTCGCAGGGAATCAACTAGAACAGTTAAGAAACCAAACAGAGATCTCCCTGAAACACCAAGTCAGGTTAGAGAAAAGGATCATTGCACCATGGTGTGTTCCTCAAAACCTACTCATTAAAATGCTGAGTATTTTTGTTCATGTTATTGTAAATGTCTGATTAGAAGGGTTGTACATTCAGGGTTCACTCCCAGTAATTGATGAGCATTGTTATGTTATTTCACAATCCCGCGACTTATATTTATGTATCCATGTAGTCATCTCGATAATTCATGTTTAGTTGTCAGTTTTTCTAATATAATCTGGTTAAATTGCATTACATGGTAAGAAAAACATTGGGATAATTATACACTATATGAAGAAAAAGTCGACATTTCCAATTATATTTTTATTCATCTGATTTTTCAGTCAAGGGGAAAAAAGAAAGCACTTTCAGAGCAGCTAAAGTATTGTAACTCTATTCTAAAAGACATGTTTTCCAAAAAGCACTATGTAAGTACTAACATTGTAATAACACTGGTTGTAATAACATTTAAGCATTTCCTGGAAATTCTGCCATAAGTAGTTACTACCTACTACTTTTCCCCCTATCATATACTTCTACTCCTCAGTTAATTTGCTTAAAATAGAAAGCTATAATTAATGAGGAAGCTTTCTTTGTTACTTTTGGTGTTTGTATCAACAGGGAATGAATAGACCTTTCCCAAATTGGCTTGACTGATCACTAAACAATAGTTTTGGATTCAAGGGTGGACTTGATAGATAAAAGAATCAAGCTCAATCTCGATTTCAAACCATTATTTCATGGGTATTCAAGCAAATTCGGGAAAGGTCTCTTGGCTCATAGGTAGCTAAATGATCATGGTCAAGGTCTTTGTCTGCTATATTCCTTTAAGGTGGTATTGTAAAGGTATTTATAGATGATCATTGATTTATTTTTATATGATATCTAGGCATATGCTTGGCCCTTTTACAAGCCTGTGGATGCAGATGCTCTTGGTCTGCATGACTATCATGATATCATCAAGCAGCCGGTTTCCATGGAAGAACTTAAGGTAACAGATCACAGTCTGTCTATTGAGAATTGAGAGAAGTGGAGTAGATTTTGTTTTGAATCAATGTAATGCAAAGCTAGCTTTTTAAAATATAGAACTTTGTGAAATTCCAGGAAAAAATGGACAACAGAGAATTCAAAACTCCATCAGAATTTGCTGCTTCTGTTCGCTTAATGTTTAGTAACTGTTATCGATACAACCCTCCTGATCATGATGTAGTCAAGATGGCAAGACAGCTCCAGGTAAGTCCTACTGTATTTTGTGCTCATTTTGGTTTTGGGAATCAAGGGGGGCGTAGCAGTAGTACACTTGCCTCTCAACTATGGACTCTCACGTTCCATTGCCAGATTGTTAGGGCTCTCCCTTCATTCGAGGGTTTTTCTCCAGGAGCTAAATTCCATTTTGATCTGTGAATTAGCTTTACCTTGACTTTGATCAGCCCAGAGGCTCTTTCAGGGTTTCATGTGAGCTGACTTTGGTTAGCCCAGAGTTTGTTTCAGGGTTTCGATCTGTGAGTTAGGGTTGCCCTGACTTTGATCAACCCAGAGGTCGTTTCAGGGTATCGATCTCTGCTCCAATCTCCAGCTTCTTTCTGACCAATATTGATATGATATATTTCAGGATGTTTTTGAAATGAAGTATGCAAAGATGCCAGAGGAGCCAGAGCAGCCTATTCCAAGCCCTCCGTCTGAAACACCTCCAGCAGAAGAACCTGAACAACAAGAAACTTCAGAAGAATCATCGTCCGAGTCCAATGACAGCGAGGCAGAGAGGGAGGACAAACTAACACAATTACAACAACAGGTATTGATCTATTGGGCTATTATATGTATAGGGAATTAAGGACACTCGTCTATCACCTCGTATCTTTGTTAGGTCTCTCACTAGAGTTGAGAGTTTTTCTTTGGGCTTGCCAATTTTCTTTCCTACGAAAAACCTAACATGCTAAATTCCAATTATCTGTGAGTTAGCTTCGCCTTGACTTAGACCAGCCCATAGGTCATTTCAGGGTTCAATCTGTGAGTTAGCTGTACCCGACTTAGCTCAGCCCAGAGGTTGTTTCAGGGTTTGATCTGTGAGTTAGCTGTGCCCTGACCTAGATCAGCCCAGAGGTTGTTTCAGGGTTTGATCTGTGAGTTAGCTGTACCCGACTTAGCTCAGCCCAGAGGTTGTTTCAGGGTATCGATAAAATTTGAGGTTTATAACAATCAAAGGAAAAAGAAAATACTCTTGGACTTGTTATCCAAAATATATGCTGTTTGAGTAGTTCTTCATAGGGTCATTCACAATTGGAATAAAATCCAGTCTTCTTATTCAATTAACATAATGGTTTAAAGAAGTCATAGGACAGAGCACTATCATCATGTGAAGTTGCATGCTCTTCTAATGAAAACATTTCAAGACTCGCCATCACATTTATTTCAAAGTTTTTTGCTTATCTTTTCTCTAGCTCATATCAGTACATGAACAGCTTAGTAAGCTAACAGGAGAAAAAGTCATCCTCCCGAAGAAAAAGAAAGAACCAGTAAAGAAACCAAAAAAGGAGCACATAGAAAAGCCAGCAGGGAAGGGCATTACTCACTTCGTAGAGAAACCAAAAAAGGAGCACACAAAACCTAAACCAGCACACAAACAAAAGAAGCAAGAAAAACAGACCACGACGGCAGTAAAAGCTGAAAAACCGACTAAGAAACAATCGGCTTCAAAACGATCAGCAAAGAGCAAGTAAGTATCTTTTGGACAGATTTGTGCCTTGTTTTTTTTAGGAATTCATGAAATTTCAGGGATTTTGTATCTAGTTTATTGACCCTTGTTCCTCTTGTATTGTGTGCTGAATCCTACTGTTATCTTTGGGAAATTGGAGAGTAATTTCTCGTTAGGTCTATCTCTTATCTTGAAATGTTTGTTTTCAAGATTGGCTGCCAAGAAAAAGACATACGAAGCTGACAGCGATGAAGAAGATAATGCCAAAGCCATGGACTATGATGAAAAGAGAGAACTCAGCCTAAACATCAATAAACTACCAGGTGAGCAACTAGCATTGCTGCAGTCATTTAAGTTAGCTTTTTTTTTTTTTTTTTTAACCACATAGTCAATAACATGTAAAATTATTTTATTTCAGGTGGAAAACTCGGCAAAGTGGTACAGATTATACAATCAAGAGAACCAGGTTTGGGTGACACAAACCCAGATGAAATAGAAATAGACTTTGAAACCTTAAAACCGGCAACATTAAGAGAACTGGAACGGTACGTCCAGTCCTGCTTGAGAGAGAAAAACAAAGCGCCTTCTAAAAAACCCAAGAATGCAGAAGAGAGAGAACAAGAACAAGCTCGGAAAAAAGAAGAATTAGAAAAAAGGCTACAGGTATCTAATTATAATTTAAGTTAATTTGATGTATGTTATACGAGTTGTGTGGCAATCCATACAGACCACAACTGCACCACAGAATTGATGGTGAGTTTTGCATGCTTTCTTTCAAGGATGTCAGTGGAAAAATCGGAGCACCAGCACAGAAGAAACAAAAGAAAGGTGGGTTTAATATTTATTTAATAATTCTAATAAATTTATTTAATAGCAAACATTGTGGGTCATCATGACCAATACAACTTTGATAAGGGCTCTAATAATTGATAACTGTGTCCCTTGGGTCATTTATGGGATTATCCTGCATATATAAGCTTTTAAATTAATCATTCAGTACTTTTGAGTTACAATTCTGATTACAACCTCCATTTTGTTGGCAATAGCAGTCTAATTTTTTTCATGTTTGGTTGCATTACTTTCCCAGCGAGGGATAAGGCTGTACTTTGAAGCCAAACCCTCCTCTCCTGGTCCCCATCTTATGAGAATTTTGTTATCTATGAGCTGGATACATTGGACAATGGGCCTTCATTGTGTTTTCAAAATCAGTTAAAACATCAGTGTCTATTAAGTTCAAGGTATATTTATTTATTGGTTTTTTTATTTTTCAGATTCCCATAACTCAGAACAGAGAATAATAGATGTTGTGGGAAGTGAACCAAGGCCGTCCCGCTTGAGTGAGAGCAGCAGCAGTGGATCTGGGTCAAGCAGTAGCTCTGGCTCATCCTCCAGCTCTGGCTCTTCAAGCTCTGAAAGCAGCTCTGGTTCTGAATCAGGTAGTGAACTATGACCAGAAGATATGTGTGCACCAGCACAATATTAGAACTATCTCTTTCTCTCTCGTGCTGTTAAAAATCCCTGAGTAAAAATGCAGGCCATTTTGACTCTGATTTTTTTTTTGCGTTGAAAACCAAGCTGAATGGAACAAATCCAATTCACTTCTTTCATATACTTCACTCGTGTTTTGGTAATAAAAAGACTATACAAAAAATATATTCTGTATTTCTTGAACRAGTACAATAATTGTCCAGTTTTCCACTCATAATGGTACTGCTGTTGGTTGAACCCCCCCAAAGAATAAAAACCATAATAATTGATATAGTGGTGATGATAAAGATGTTATCTTGTAATAACATGATCAGGATGGATGTCAAAGTAAGCTAGCTTTAGGGATTTGAAGAAATGAGTTCTGCTTATGCAATTTTTTGCAGACATAATTTATACAGACATAATTATTGAATAGTTGATCTCAAGTTTCTTATGTTCACTCATTGTCCATCTCATTCCTTCCTGAAATCAAATTACTCATGTTTGATTTCCAACAAAAGCACAATCTTTCCCTTGGCACCACTCCCCCTTGCAATTCGTGCCCTCTGTTCAGCACTCTGGTACCATAATAAAGATTAAAACTTGTATAAATCRCCATGGAGCTATCGGCTAAGTTTTTAATTAGGATAATAATTGCTAGTTGTATTCTTAGGTTTATGGTATGTATATTATTGTAGCAGTAAAATGCTGCTCATTTAGCAGTTGTTTGATAATATTATTTTAGAAGTTCATGGTAGCATAAGTGTAATTTTAACAAAAATAAAAAAGGTTGAGCTGTGATTTAAACTTCTGCTGTTCCGTAATGTCACGACTTGTAATACCAACTTGTTCCTTGAAGACTACAGAATGACTGATTGATCAATAGATGAATTGATACCTCATTTGCTAGTGTATAAACCTTCTATTGTTGTAAAGTTCTAAATTATTAAAAAATAAACATTGTAAAGATGTTTTTTGTCTCTTAAGATTTTTCTTTTTCACGTGTGTGATTGTTAATTGGGTAACAGTTTCCCCCATATATCTCTCCCTTTTAGTACAGCTAGCTCGTTCTCCCAGTTATTACTCCTAGGTGTGACCCAGTATGTTGGAGGGTTTCGTCTAATGTGGTTTCCTTGTTTGGCAGAGTCTGGTGGTAAAAGCCATAAGACTGCCCCCATTACAAAGGTACTTGTCATTACTCTTTGATTTTTAATATTAGAATATGTTAAGGAATCCTCATCAACTGAGTTTCCTTAAACCCACGAAAAAAGCTGGTCATTCAAACACCTTGAATCTAATCAAAACTTCCCTCATTTCCTTTGATTTACAAGGGATTATATTGAACAAAATTACATACCCTAATGCCAATAGATTCAGCTTTTTTCAACTTCTCTAAGCTCTTTTTAACCTTAAATCACTCTATGGCAAACAGTCAAAGTTTTGCAACAAGTAGCTGAAAATAACTTGTCAGTTAAAATAAACACGATTATCCTGGCTCGATCATATCGTGAATAATTTCATCAGTGTGTTTTTAAATGAACCAGAATTGTAATTTTACTATCGGTAATTGTTCAGCCTGAGCTTCTCTAAAACTGATAAATATATGTTGCCATAGCAATGAACTAGACTCTTAATGGAGCTGCCATTTTGCAACTTTTACTGTTTGCTACATTGTATGTTCCCATATTTTATGATCCATTAATCCCATCTATTTCATTTTCACCTTTCTGTGTCTCATTCTGTTATCTCACACACTTTGTTTGTAACTCCCTTAGATTAAGTCTGGTGTTGGAAACTCTGCAAAAGCTTTGGCAAAATTACACAAAACGGATGCTCCGAATGGTATGTTTGTCTTTATTCATTTGCATAGTGTGCAGAAAATGTAGAAATTAGTCTGTTGCTTAGGCTTAACTAGGGGAGTTTTAACAACGGCCATATTTCAGTGATTGCTAGGCCCAGTATTAACGTAGAATAATCTAATGCAAATGAACAAAACCAAATTTGCATTAGATTTGTTACATGTGAAATTTGGCGTTTAAACTGGGCCTTGCAAAATTCTCCAATTGTGTTGTTCAAATTCCCATACATCATCATTTAATTATCATTGTTCTGTGATCACCCTACCAAGGTGGATATACTCTCTGGTTCTTAGGGTACAAGTCAGTGTTCATATATCTGTCCATTCCACTTACTATTTGTACGTCCTCTTCATTACCCATTTTTGAGGGTGTACCATTTTTTTTACCTTTCAATTCTCAAATCAATTCTGGAATGCTCACCTCCCAAAGTTTTTCTGACCCCATAATCTTCGGTCACCTATAATTAATGTAATAGACCTATCCCGAATTCGCTTGACTGGTCATGAAACAATGGTTTCAAGTTGAGGTTGAACTTGATGAATAAAAGAATCAAGTTCAATCTTGACTTCAAACCATTGTTTCATGGTCAGTCAAGCGAATTCGGGATAGGTCTATTGATGATTTGTAGTGGTGTAATTCAAAGATTTTATAAAGTATTACTCCACTACGCTGTTTTATGTACAGTACCCTGACTTAGATCAGCCCAGAGGCTGTTTCAGGGTGTTGATATCAAAAAAAAATTGAAGTAAAACACATTATATGCTATCTTAGTATCGGTAGTACCAGTAAAGCCAGAAAAAAAAGTTATACCATCCCTACCCCCAAGTCAACATGTAGCTCAACCCAAGCACCAAAAAGCCACTTCATCTCATTCAAATACTCGAAAATCAAATGGTACAGGGAAATCAAAAGCTCTGCCCAAATCACAAACGAACGTAACAAAGGTACCAGCCACTACCGTGCCTCCAGTTAGTATACCAAAACAGGTCCCACACACTACAACAAAACCTGTGGTTAAACAAGAACAATTACCGGTGAAAGGAACTCCAGTGCCGAAGACACCCCAAGTACCGAAAACAGTAGCTACTCCTAAAACAGTACCTGCTCCAAAACCTGCTGTACCTACACCTAAAGTTACATCTACACCAAAGACAACCAATCCAACGTTTACAGCTGTTAAAAATATAACAACTACAGCAGTGACTCAACCCAAACCAGTAGTTTCTGCCATGTCAACGCCCATGAACAAACCACTGGCTCCAGTTATAAACCCAGTTGTGACCCCAGCTGTGACCCCAGTTGTGACCCCAGTAAGCAGTACAGTACAAGGTGCCGTGAAGGATAAAGACCCAATAAAACCTACCAACACAAAAATAACGACTCCTGCTGCACCTAAATCAGGTAATGATAATAAATGATAATTTTAATGATTTGTATAGTGCACCTAGTACGTGAGTATTCTGAGGTACTGCTATTCACAAAGCAAAATCTGTGTAAAAGGGAGCTTTTGCACCATCACTTACCCATGCTCATAATATTTATTGACTGCTCTTGGGAATTGAATTCTTTCTTGTGTAAAATGATTGTATTGATCCTGTCATCTAACATGGCTGCCATGGAGTGATGGTGTAGGATAGTTAGAGAGATAGTGATTGCTGTCTGGGGCATTTGTAACATTAATAAAATATTGAATGCATTTTAATGCCTTCAGGTGGAACTGGATTAACATTTTCTATAGGAGACCTTCCAGGATCATTAGCGACAATAGGTTTGATCTTGCTTTAGTTCTGTTTATGTGTTTTGCAACTATATATTTCAGTAAACAATAAGATTGGTACTTTTCCTTCCTTCCTTCCTTCCTTCCTTCCTTCCTTCAATTAATTCCTTCCTTCCTTCTTCCTTTCTCTCTCTTTCTTATTTTCTTTCATTGTCTGTTCATCTCTCTCTTTACTTTTCGTCTATCTTTCTCTCTTTTTAAGTTAATAGAAGATCTTAGAACAACAAAATGAGAAATTTCTATAGTCCATTAAGATACTATGTTTAGTAATTATATCTAAATAAAAATATCACATATTTAATTGGATTTTGTTCTGCAGGGCAAAAGCCATTAGATGCTGGGATCAAAAAGGTAGACCATATGCTGTGATTAAATTTATATTATCATATTTAAAAAATAGTGGATTTTGAGTTAATAGGGTTAAGGTAGATTGGTGGAACTGTCAATAATATTTTTTCTTGTGAATATTGTAATATTTAATAATATCGTAAACTATCTTCTACATTTTTAGGACAGTGTTAAACCTATTCGTCACGTCCCATCCTGGTCTAGTCTGCCATCAACAGCTTCACCATCTTTAACAAGAACGCCATCATCAACCAGCAGCTTTGAAAAGTTTAAACAACAAGCCAAAGATAAAACTGAAAGGGTAAGTGAAGTTGACGTTTTGTCATGCATTATTTAAACGTTTTTGAAAACTATCATTTCAAGTTAACAAAACTTTTAGTTAGTGAGTAATCACTCATATTTAAGCGTCTAGTCGTTCTAGCGCTTTTGCACTAATTGGGGACACTTTTCACTCATATGCACTACCACTACATTCAATATTCTATGCACACAACGCTCAACTCACATGTTGATTTTAACAGAGGGAGGAAACCGGAGAACCTGGAGAAAAACCCTCGTAGCACAGGAGAGAACAACACATCAAACAAACTCAATTCACATGTGGCGAGATAATCAAATAGGAAGTAATTCAATTATCAGTTCATATACTGTATTATCTGTTAGATTACTATTTTATGACGAAGAAGAATCACCACAAACATTATTTGTCTTATGCACAACTCAGAACAAAAATAAGAGGTACAATGACATCATTATAATATAACAAGAATTACCCATGTTTTTAAAGGAAAAAGCATTAAAAGTACAAGAAGAACAGCAAAAGCAAAGAAGAGAACAAGTTGAGGCAGAACGAGCAAGACAAGCAGAAGAACGCAAAAGGCATGAAAAAATAATTACTGAAAAGATATTAGGACCTCTCACAGCTAAAGAAAATAAATATAGTTTTTAAAGAATTGAAATTTTGTGACAAAACCAGGGAGAGAGAAGAAGAGGAAGCATTAGAACGAGCAAGACTGCAGCACCAAGAAGAAAGAACCAAACAAGAAGAAAGAAGAATGATGGACCGTAATCGTGCACGAGAAGCCGAGAGGAGAAGAAGAGAAGCTGTAAGTTACCAAGTCTGTTTTCTTATTGATTTGAAGCATAATAGAGCACCGAAGTGATGACGTCATAATGCTGATCAATATGCATACGTTATATTGGACACCAAGCATCCCTTTAAATTAATTATTTTCACTATATCATAATTTTGATCCTCGATTTCGATAGAAAATCAAGAAAGACGCTAATGCCAAATTTCAGGAGAATTGGTTGAATAGCAACAGAGATACGGCCGTTTGAATATATAATTTCCCCATACAAATCTCTGTATTTTTGCCCTGGTTCTTCACGTAAAGAACCAGGGCGAAAATACAGAGATTTGTATGGGGAAATTATATACTCAAACGGCCGTATCTCTGTTGCTTTTTAACTGATATTCTTAAAATTTGGCTTGTTAATGTCTTTCTTGATGTTCTATCGAAATTGAGGATTGAAAATTGTCAAAAGCAAAATTTTGTTTTTCGTGACGTCACACTTCGGTACTCTATTGCTGTATTTAAATGGCAGTGTGAAATTTAGATGGAGGTCAAAGGGTGCCAGTACTCTTACTTTCTAGCTTATAGATTGTAAAGTGCTAAAAAGGTGCCTCATAAGTTTTGTGAACCCTTTTACTCAAAATTCTAGATCCATACTAATATGCTGGACATATAATCAAAGATTTTTGTTGCCACAGCCAATAATAACTGTCATGATTATGTATTCCTTGACTGGTAGCTTTGTTTGGTCTGGGAAATTAATGTTATCAAATGAAGTGACTTTTTTTTATTCTCTGTATTTCAGCAAGCCGGCACGATTAACATGAACGAACAAAGTGATATAATGGCTTCATTTGAAGCAGATTTTACACATTAAAATGAGCACCTGTCTTCCAAGAGCATCATGTCATCTGGATCAATTCATACATAAGCCAAAAAGGCAATATTGCAAATATTGAAGTGTGCCAGCAGATAGCACAAGAATATTGAATTGTTTATATTATTTTGTACTTAACATTTCTATAGCTAAATTGATTTTTTTCATATTTTTGTCTTTAAGTCRTCATAATATTAGAATTATTATTGATAGCTGAACTCCTATTATTAGACTCAATTTCATTTTTGAGTTTAAAGAAATTACAAGGTGTTCGCTGGCAATTAAGCAATAATGCATGAATATGCATATGATATATATATATATATACTTCATATATGCTATTCGTATTGATTTTTTTAACACACAGAATTGATGGCTGTCAAAATTTCACTTGATTTCCAAAAAAAGAGTTGTCAGTCAGTATTACACAAAAGACCTATTGTAGAATATAGTTTGATTCTCAAGAATAGTTTTTYTAGAGGTTAGGGAATCATTGAACACTAATATTTGTATATTGATATTCTAAATTCTATAACGTAATCATAACTCATGGAAATATGATAAATAGGCCTCTACCTTTGGTGTAATGTTTTCCCGTTCCAGGCTGTGTCATTCTCTTGAGAGTGAAATTCCTTGTTTGAGTTGTATCCATATTCATGTGCCTTCTCATGCACAACTGTTAAACAAAGAAATGATGCTCTAGGGAGTGACACATGGTCTGGAACAAGAGGTCTATTGCTTTATTCTTATGATTTAAAACACCTACTAATATGGCTTGGAATATGAGTTCATAAGTGAAGTTTTAGAATTATTCTCAAGATACATTATTGTATCCACATAAAAAAGAACAACAAACAAGGAAAAAGAAACAAAACAAAAACAATAAAAAGACTACAAACTCAACAAAAAATTATCACAACAAAAAGGTTACATTAATAAAAAAATATCAGTTGAAAAAAAGTACTTGGTTTGAGAGTTGACTTTAATTTATTACTTTGATTAATAATCTCTAATATTAGTGACATAGTTGTATTTCTAATTTTAAATGATTTTGTTCCTTCAGTGAATTAACTATAGGAACTTTCTTGTTAGTATCCTAGACTTTAACTATAACCTTGAAAACCTATGTGTAGGTCATTACTTTGATGTAGGACTCTTTGTTTACCAGTACTAAATGTTAATGTAAACCATCTTCAATGTTAATACAGAAATCGTATTGATGTTAATCATTAATGGTTGAAAACTGTATTGATTTACAGAACAAAACCAAATAAAAATTGGAATAAAACCTCTGCATGTTGAAGATCTTAAATCTATAAATTAAGTTAAAACRCTGAGATAATACTTTAAGAACATTTTGGGGGGTATAATAGTGCTGTTATTTTCTAGATAAATTATCAATTTGATGATAATGACATTACACATGTAACTAGTTTGGATCTCATCGTTTTGAGTCAAAAAAGTCCTCTGGCTAAGGACTGAGGTCTGAAATGTCAGTGTTTATTCTCTATAATTTGGTTTGATGGTGATGGTTTTTTTCTTGCCTAAACACCAGATAATGACAATTTATCAATGCCTGAAAAGAAAATGATGGCCAAGTTTCTAAAATACCTGTAATACCTGTAAAAAGGATGTTTGACCATCTGTTGTGGCTTGGCCAATGACTTGATGAAGTTGATTTCCTGTATCAACTTTAATTTAATATTGACCACAGACAACTACAAGTTATTCATTAAGAGTTAATATTTTATTTTGAGCTAATAGTCCCCTTCACAGTTCCCTGTGCCATCTTTAAAGGYAACCATACCTGTGCATCAAAGGGAGAATGACAGTGACCTTGCATTGATATATGATAAAGACCTTTTTTAACACCTTGGACAGTCATTCACATGTTTCTATCAAAGGTTACCTATATTCTCACTTTGATGCCATTCAAGATAGTGCAAGGAACTGTGAAGGGGGCTACTGCAACAACTTACAAAATAGATACTTACTTCCCCTCTGAATTTTGAATTTTTCAAGAAATTTTATTTAAAAAATGCCAACAGGTCATCGCAAACCTGAGGATTACATTAATATAATTATTTAAATATTTACAATTTCTTATTTACRATACCTAATGTGCAGTGAAGTGGATAGGACAGGAAAGTAATAAAATACATTCGTGCAATCTTGTTTAGTAAAGGATACAAGATTTGAGATAGTCCTGGGAAATAATGTTAATCTAGTAGTGTATCTGGTAGGTTAGTTGATAGTGTTTGTSCAACCTAACTCCAACAAACTACAAGAATTGCAGTTACAAAAAATAAATTCAAATTTACGACATTATAACTAATAACAGAAGAAGAAAACTATTGCAATTCAAGGTAATTTCTCCTAGGAATATTATGGATACCAATATTTCTTTGCTAATGGCAAGGTGCATGTTTGTTAATTTAAGCTTAATTGGAAGCAAGCATTTTATATACAACGTTTTTCTTGCAGCAAGAACTTAAACATAAAACATTAATTAAAACATTAATTGGCATTTTTGCTACCAGACAAAAGTGCTTCATTTGGACAAATGGAAGGCAATTCAAGCACAATAATTATGTTCAATTATTGTTTGTGATGCTTCAAAGACCTTGTTTCTTGTCAGAGATCAAAAGAAACACAGGCTCTGAGGGGACAAGAATACTTCAAGGTTATAATAYTATGATTGTTCTATCAGCAGAAAGAATTGCTTATAATTATATATATTTATATAAAGTTACACCTCTTGATATATGCATGCATAATATTGGTTGTTATCCRATAAGGATACAATAATGATTTATCTTGCCTCTATGTACAGTCTTTAATCACCAATTTCTTCTATTCCCTCGCTCTCTGTCACCAAAGCCCTTTCCAAGATGACACGACCTTCCTTTAAATAATATAGAGACAAGTGGTTTTAATTTCTTGGCACACCTAGTATTTTGAGTGGCATGAGGATGGGGGTACCCTGGTGGAGTAGACTTTGTGGCAAGGGAATTTGATGGTTCAATATCATATCTGGAAAAACCGTGACAACCTGTAAATGGGTTACTCCCAGGGGTGGTGGTGGCATCCAACAGATTTAGAGGGGTGGGTYGATTTAACTGAGTGGTTGGATGGGGTCCCTTGAATGTCAAATTTCTCTGGGTCTGCCCACTTCCTAATTCGATAGATGCTTTCCGGGCTTTAAGTAAAATGRATTAATAACCACTCTAGTGGGAGGCAAAGTAATCATAAATGCCATAGTAATRTTCGCTCTACCTTGTATCTCTGGTTTTCTTCTGTAGCAAATTCCTAACAATAATTTATAAAAATTTTATAATGTGTTAGAAATAGAATGAAGCCATGTGACAGCAGCCCTGGTACTACTGATAGTAAGGGTGCAGTCTCTGGGACTCCCAGCGATACTTACATACATCCAACCTAACTTAGTGTCACAATTCTTGCAAGAAACATCTCTAACCATGTGTCGTCCAGTAAGCTAATAAACAAACAATTTATTACAGAATAATCAACCTATTGAATTATTTGATTAAAATTTGAAACATTGTAATGTGAAGGGATGGGCATAGGAACAAAGGATGCAGGGTTTGTTCAGGTGAGGTGCACATGCATGTTGCCTAGAAAGCMAGCAAATAGCTTCCTATTTTCCATTTTTTCTTTATATTTTTAAAACTCCAAGGGGATGGYTAGCCACCCAATCCACCCTCCTGGAATGACCCTTGCATAGGGAAGAGAAATTGAGGAAGGCCAAGGAATGGTCATTTATTGGCTGACCTACAATGACCTTCTCTATTCCCACTTAGCTTTTCTCTGTTATTTATATAATGATTATCTTTCATATCTTACCATTACTCTGTCCTGGACTTCACTCAGAGTTAGGTTGACACTGTTGACGAACATTTTCATGCATTAATAAAAAAAAATTAACTTGGTTTTGAAAAACAAATGGATTTTTATGGCATTATAACCAATCCCCATCCCTACGAGAGGAGGAGAATTTTCAGGCGGGGGTGAGTGGAGGAAAGAAATAAGGAACRTTGTGGGGAGCAGTTGGTTGTCTTCTCAAAATTATTGTTAATGCAAGACTAACATGAACACATCAGAGGAATCATACTTTTTTTYATTAGGAATTCGTGGCATTTCTTTTGTATTTCCATGTTAGCCAAAGTCAAGACAATTTTAAGAAGGGTCATACTCCTTTGTCTTAAAATACACAAAATTATTATCTTGTATGCTTACACTTTGTGAAACAAGAATGCTCTTCCAGTGGATCCCGTAAATCTCTATAGCCATAGAAAAAGAAAAAGAATTAGTTGGACATTAAAAATCCATACTATTTAACATTAGGCTTCAAGGTGTTCAACGACAGCTACACGTACTAGATATTGGCCTGTCAAAACAGGATATCTTGAATTGAACAATGCAATAAGCCACAAGTCGTAGCAATCAAACAGAGACCTTAATGGTTTAAGAGATTTTCATATATTAATATTCAAAGCTTTCTTTTAAATATCTGTGAATGAGTGTCACAGGTACCCAGAACCACAGAATGGTAAAGACAATACTATTAGAAATTTAGTAATATAAGGTATTAAAAATACAAATACGATAAAATTTCTCGAAAGTGAAATGTTTTCTATGGTGTTAAACTTCTGACGTGTTTCTATTKTGTTTGGAGTTAATTTTGTTTCTCATTAGCATTTTGATAAAAACAAATAACTTGACCCTCAGTTCTGAACAAAAATGGTAAAAAATTTGAAGGAAAATTGATTCCWGCGTGTTTGAGTGTGAATTTTTTAAACACTACGAGATTTAAGTCTCATAACTAGAAGAAGGGTGAAAGAAGCCTAAAATGATGAAAATTATGAAGATTTTTGAGCGTAACTACGAAAAGATTCGCTAATAATAAATGCAGAAATAATAGATTCAAGGATCTTCTCTTAGTAAACTTCGAAATTACAGGACGAAAATCCTACTAAAAATATCACAATTTATCAATAATAACAACTTAAAACAACAAACAATGGAAGGAACTATCAATATCAAACCTRTAACTGCTTAGGGCTTTAATCTTCTGGATACAGAACGGACAAATAAACACTGTAAAAAAAATCCTCACAATAATTTTTCCCCCTACCATAGAAATGAGCTCCGAGCGATTCGTCAAGACTGTATCACAATTAGCGCAAGAATAGAGCCTAGTTCCTCCAGGATGATCAAGGAAGATCCTACCCATCGTCTAACGTGGTCGTATGGATGAAAATTAATGTAAAAGGCTGTGTTTTAAAGCAAGAATTACGAGGCAGTCGTGGTTATCGTGTAAGAAGAAAAGTGCGACTTCGGTGTGTTCTTCTTTGTTTTGATCAAGTAAGTCACGTGACTTAGAGGGAAACATAATACTGCACGCTGATTGGTGAATACTATTATACCTCTTACGTCAATCATTCTTTACTATTACGTCATGGATACAAAATCTATCACTAGAGAGGGGAGGGGAGACAGAGGCGTAATGATTGAATGAATTGCAAGTATATAAAATGGTCAAGTGGCTAATAGAATTCTTGCAGCTTTTTGAAGGGATTAATAAAATATCAACGACAATTAAAATGTTATTAAGACAAAATGTATTCTAACTACCAATTTTTTTCAAAGCTTTCAACGAGTTACAAACAAAGCCTTAGACTGAACAAAGATTACATGTAAAGTAAGCTTACAAGATTAACGCTTCCTGAAATGGATCAGAAATGGATCATAATTGCAAAAACAAACGAACAGATGATAAAAGCTCTTTTCATTGATCAGTACGTCCATGGTTATTGGGAGCTGTCTTTCAGTAGGTGCGGGAAGTGCTAGTTTTCTTGGAGCTTCAATGCAAAGTCGTCCATCTTTGTCCAACTTTGTTTTCACAGAATCCATATCAACATCTTTGGGAAGAACAAAATGGCGCTTAAAGCTCCTTGATGAATAACGGCCCTGAGATTCAGACTCATGACTCGCACTGACCATCAGCTCGTTGTTCAGGACCTTGACAGAGATTTCCTCCGGGGCAAATTTACTAACGTCCAGCTTTACACTAAACTTCTTGTCATCCAGTTCTTCCATCACGGATTCTTCCTTGGGTGTAGTTTTGTACCCTTCAATGTAGAGAACTCCATCAGGAGATACTCGTGATGATACTGTTGAGGGATCAACAGCTTCTGGTAAATCAAATTCCTGCGGAATTCCCTCGAATCGTAGCCATATTCTCCCTCAGAATGGTGTTTTCCGTGGACTTTCAYCTTGCCATCTTGAACTCTGAGAGAGATTTCGTGTGGATGGTAGTTCTTGACATCCAGTTTCGCGATGAGAAATTTTGTCGTCTTCCAACTCATCTAGGTAGCTGGTCCAGCTTTGGAAAGGGCCATTAGAACCAAGAGCATGCAGGTTTGCTATGAGGATTTTGTCAACATCGTCCATCTTGACAAGAGGAAGATTCTGACTCAAGGTTCCACGACTGCTCCAACTGACTACAGACCACATGTTCGCCATGGCAAATTTACTACCAATCCTATATTTAGCATATTACGCAATGTTATTTCTTCCAATAATTTAAAAGCATTATTCCAAATCATTTTCCTAAACTTAAGATTTAAACTGGAAAGTTTCAGTATGAACTGCAATAATAGGCATCACTATAACAACTGTAAGTTAGTCTTACGTAAGCGGAGCTTATTTGAGGGCTGCGTTTAATATGAGGCGGGACTTAAACGAGTAAGTACGGTACATTACTGTCTACTCCTAATCAGTWCACCCCTTATAGTTTAATATAGAATCTCCGGATTACAATTATACTTACCGCGTTTGTCATCACCCGTAATTAGAAATTACCACTAAAGCAAAACTTCAACACGATTCCACTATTCTTTTATTTAAAAATATTGCGTTGAATCTCTTAGAGATTACAAATGTTTTCGATTMAAATAATCGATAGGATGGGAGGTTTACGAAGTATCTCATAGTGGTCGTGTTGTATTTAAAAATAAATATTAAAAAATCCCTTTGATCCAAAACGTATGTTAAATTGAAATCTCTATTCAAAATCTAGAAATTGTAAAGTTCATCTAACAACTGGAACTATAATATTGTTATTCTTATTGCTTGGGATCATAGTATTCTAAGTTTCATTCATGAGAAATGAAATAAAATAAATCTTGAAATTACCGGAGCACTTATGAAAACTTTGCATTAAAGTAAATAAGTGTATAAATAAGTGTACTCTTGTGATCATCAGAACACCTATAACTTTAAATTAAACCGATCACGCTACCATTGRTCCAGATACGTGGGTTGCCTTCTAAGAGCAAAACCTCACCGAGGKTGGGGTGGGTGAGTAGATATTTTTTCACTGCTTTCCTTCATGAGAGTTCTCCAAGTATCTGGATTTTGATAGCAATCCGAATAACATTAAAAACATTCAATAAATAATTAAAATGGGTGTCGTCAATCAAAGCATACCGTCAAATCGCTTGCTTCTCTTAATAATAATAATATAATAATAAACTATATATTAGTTCGGTGCATTGTGAGCGAGTGAACTAACAAGTCACGTGACCACTCATTCCCCTTATGATGTCTTGATACTACTATTACCAGAATCCTTTTCGACTTCTTTTAATAATCCAAATGTTTTAACTCCTTTGAAGCCACAAGATAACGTATTTAGTTAAGCTAAAAAACGACCTACGAAAGGACTTTAGTAATAGTGGTATCAAGACATAACAGGAGAGTGCTCACGACTGTRACAATATGATTTCTCATATATTCTAGTATTCTATTCCATTCTATTCATAGTCTTGATTTGTATCATGTTGATCTTCTTGGCCATAACATGTACCTATTCCCAATGCCAAGGGATCTAGATAGTGGTGGGTTTGTTCTTCTGTAAAGGTGGTTGTGCCATTATTCATTTACATTTTTGTATCATTGACTTCTTCGCTCTCTTCAAAACTGATGAGGTTCTGAGGGGTCTAAACATCAAAATTAATAATTTAATGGTGATGATTTTAATAATGATGCTAGTGATGATGATGATAATGGTAATGGTGGTAATAGTGATGATGATGGTGGTGGTGGCCCGGTGATGATGATGATAATGGTAATGGTAATGGTGGTAATGGTAATGGTGGTAATAGTGATGATGATGATGGTGGTGGCCCGGTGATGCTGGTGATGATGATGATAATGGTAATGGTGGTAATAGTGATGATGATGGTGGTGGTGGCCCGGTGATGGTGATGATGATGATAATGGTAATGGTGGTAATAGTGATGATGATGGTGGTGGCCCGGTGATGCTGGTGATGATGATGATAATGGTAATGGTGGCAATAGTGATGATGATGGTGGTGGCCTGGTGATGATGGTGATGATGATGATGATGACGATGGTTATGGTTATGGTTATGGTTATGGTAATGCTTGAGATAGTGGTGATAGTGGTGATGATAATGATGATAATGGCTGTAATGTATTCTAAGTATTGTCTTCTGCAAACATAATACAATCAATATATATACTAAGATAGCAATGATAATGATTTACATCTGTATATCTCACCTTATTTTTGCTTGTMGTGACATGAGACAGACATGTGTACCACATTAATGCACTTGACTGTGAGCCTGTCCTGAACTTGTACGAGTTCCCTATGCAGTGGCATTCAAAAATATTAACAACAAAATATCAACCAGTCTGATAATATTTAAGCTACTGTACCATCATATATTTGCAGTACTTAGACTTTAGTTTGCACTGATGAAAAGAACAGAGGCAGCTTTGGAGCCTCGGCAATACATTCAACCCCCTCAAGTGCAGGGCAGATTTAGGGTAGGGGTACAGGGGAAGTGTACTCTCCAGATGAGCTGATATCTACTTCTTTAGTGTTTAGTTTGTAAACAAAGGGTGCACCCTCTCCTGAAAAAACCCTGGATGGTGCATCCCCCCCCTGCCCCCCTGCCCCCTAGAAAAAATCCTGKATCTACCCCTGGGGTGCGAGGGGTAGGGAAAATGGAAAGCTCTAATAATGCTGTATTGCATAGCAAAAKAAATGTTTGGTGTTAAGATGTCCACTTACCGTTAAAAGGATCTGTCAACTGGAAGCAGTCAGTATGATGTGAATCTGACTGGATGTGTACAATCCAATTCTCTATATTTATCACCTTCTGCGCATTACTCTTAAACTGTACACAAACAAACAAAATACTGTAAATATTTGTAWATATGTCAAGGGGGAAATGTAGGTAATAGATGTGCAAAGATTATGCTCGAAGTAGAAGAAGTTTAATAATAATGGTAACGATACAGATAAGGACTTCCGGAGACGGAAAAACCATAATACTCAAACAAATATTTGGAACTCTCATGTCAATCCCTACTTACAGAAGATCTCTCAAGTTTTCCTACAGATCTGTGTTTTGGTAAAAAGTAGTATAGAAACTTTCCAGATAGACCAACCCAGAACTTTTGCCAGGTAGATACCTGGAAAATCATTCAATGAAGAGTTTTTAATTGTTAAAACATTTAACTCTATATATAGTGACAAATATTACAGTGGTGTAGGAGTTGCAGGGGCAAATCCAGGAATTTTAGAAGGGGGGTGATTATTAAAATCGTTTTACCAGGAATTCCATGAAAAGGGGGGGGCTGTTTCTAACAATATAATGAGAAATTTAAACAAATGGGGGGTGACTATGACCTCTGGGATCTGCCCCTGAGTTGAAAACAATACTTACAGCTAACTTCTTGTTATTCCTCAAACATTTCTTTCTTCTCAAAAATCCTGCAATTACAATACATGGAGAATTGCTTTTAGTTTTTCCCCCTCTTTTCTAAGAATATGAAGTTTTGATGACATAACTACACCTATGACTAAACCTCATTGCCAACTAACCTTCAACCTGGAACTCTGAATGAGGACCAAATAGTTCAGAATCATCCCTTTCATATACTCCACTATAGAAAATAAAAACACAACATTTGATCAAAAACTCTTGAAAAAGAAGAAAGAAATGTAGTGAGTGGGAGGGGGAGTGTAAAACTAGAAGCCAAATTCCCCCCACCCCCCCTTCACCCACAAAATTGAAGTACAATTGAACAATGAGGCCATTCCTACCTTGCTCGTTCTAAAGAAAGTGCTGAATTCCTTCCATTCACTAATTAATCAAAATGAAAATACATTTCTTAGGAGGTCACATGTGTATATTGATCGAGAGTCAGTGAAATAAATTTTTGGGAAAAAATCTACAACAAAAATATTGATTACAAATACAGCTTTACCAACTCGCACGCAAGCTATTTGATTTGATCGTTAAAAACGAAATGGAAATAGAGAACGAACATAAGTTAATGATGCACAGGAGTAGGGTAAGGCAAAATTTAAACTGCATCCAGTTACTAAAAATAGCCCAACCGAGAATTTACATTGTGCGTGYGTTACTGAGAAGTTTCCCTCTCTTATTTATGCTCTCTTGGCTATACTTACAAAGTATTTCAGATCCTTGGTTTTCTAAGGGTACAATACTGTCATCTATTAAATGTCTTGAGCTGGTACTACTAGCAATACTGTAGCRAAAAATAAAAAATAAAACACATTGGCTAGAACCTTAAAACCTGATAAATGCTGATCTCTTTCAATTTATCAGGATAGTGAGTATGCTCTGACCAAAGTCCTATTGGGTTATCACACAAACATGCATAATTCAATAAARAGATATAACTAGCTAAAAAATAGTGTGAGCTGCGTCGGTGTTTCTAATGAAACAATAATGATGAAAAGGTAAATTATACACCGTGAAAAGATGAAAAAACTTACTGACGTTTCGGGTSCTTCGTCGGAGTCAAACAATTATTTGATTAAGTCAGGTCAGCTCAAGCATAAAATTAATAGGAATGTTATGCACTAGCCGCAATCCAATGTTCACWTTGTACACAAGATTAGACACTTGACAGGGTCCTTAATTAGCTTCAGATCTGGAAGTCCCAGCAGCTCAAAAATATTTATTATTATTTATTATATTATTTATTTATTTTAAATATTTTATTTAGTTATGAAAGCACTAATTCTAARAATAGAAAATGTCTTGACATTATCATTACCTAAGTGAATCAAAAGATGTTCCCAAGGGTGTCCTTAGTAAGCTAGAAAATAACAAGTAATATTATCATTGATAATCATTATCATCATCATCATCATCATTATCATCATCATCCTTCATCATCATCTTCATCATCATCATCATCATCATCCTTTATCATCATCAGCAGCAGCACAGAGGCACATAAGGCTATCCCAATACTAATCTATCATTGATCATTTTGTCTATAAAAATGATCTTCATTCAAATTGCACGTTATAGGGAAAACTTACTTTGTGTCAAGACTTTGAGTTTTTCGGTGTCCAGGGACAAACTTCTTACTCACTGGGGGATTTAAAGTGTTACAAGGCAAAGCTGATAAAAAAAGATGAATTATTAAATCATAACATGGGATAAAGCCTCCAGTGGCTGACGCAGCTGGTATTCAGTATTGAGAAGGGTTAAAAAACTCTTAATTTGGCATCCATTAAACAGAGTCTAGCTCCTGATACTTAGACTCATGTCTAAAGCTGTCAACCCCAAATCAGGAGAAAAGTAAAGCAGGAGAAAAATTTAAGGTCACAGAAAAAAGACAATGAAGCACAGCAGAGAACTCTAAGCAGATGATATATGTTCTGGTATAAATAATGAGTGGTGTCTAAGCTAGGTGGTTCATGCATTATGCAGCACCCCTCATGTTAATCCTGCATTTTTAAATACCGTCTATGCTTTCTCTTGATCTTGCTTTAGATTTGTTATCACTCTCTGTTGGTTCAATCTCAAGAGACAACCTGTAAACATGGAAATAACAAGTACAGACCATGCAGTAACAAATTAAACCTACTATTGTGTTAACAGAACCTCAAAAAATTTAAAATTYCCAAAGCAAGTAAATAGTACCTGTAATTGTTATCTTCTAAGAACTTTTGTAGCTCTTCTATATAGTTCATTGAATTTAAATATTCTTGGATATAAGGCTGTGATTCAATGTCTCCTAGGAACAAGAAGTCATAAGCAACTTATCAGGGACGTAGTAATTTCTATGTAATATGTCTTACTGACCCCCCCCCCCCCTGGACCATACAGTTTTTTCTTACCCATACTTCATGGGCTACATTCATTCTCATCCTTTCTTATAGAGGGTGAACAAATTCAGTGTAAGTACTGCTTTCCTATTTGGCCTATTTTCTATCACCACATACACCACCATTAACCTTTACTTTCAGTATTTGGGTAGCATGCAACCCTCCACCCCCCCCCCC